CCGCAGACCGGGAGGTCGCCGCCGCCCCAACCAGCCCGCTGCGGAGCTGTGGACAGAGCTGACCGGCCTGGTCGGTAGGTGCAGTCGCGAGTGGGGAGCCCGCGCCCGCCGAGAGAGAAGGAAGGGCGCCTGTGACCTCATGGGGAGGGAGGGGCCGGCAGGTGCCATCTGCTCGCACCCCAGCACACCCCGCATTCGGCGCCCGCAGGCTGCCCGGAGTCCGAGGATGGGCCGGGGTGTGGGCAGGCGGAGGGCCGCCCGGCCGAGGTCTCCTTGGAAGAGGCCCTCGTGCGCCTGGCCGAGTTCCTCGCGGCGCAGCTGGCATCAGAAGGGAGCTGTGAGAAGCCTCCCGACCTGGGCCAGGTGAGGGGTGGACCTGAGTGACCTCCGCCCAGCCCCCACCCCCTGCTCCCGCCTGCAGTGCCCCCCCACTCGCTCAACTTCTTTTCTAGCCCGGTGATGTCCCCCCACTGCTCACAGTGACTGGCCAGCTTCTGGCCCTCCTGGCATGGACCCAGAGCCCCCGGGGAAGGCAGGCCCCAGGGCAGCTGCCTCCCTGTGACATGGGTGGTAAGTCGCCCCTCGAGAAGGTGCGGTACTGGGCCTGTGGCTGCCCCCCCCGCCTCTGGGCGGGGGGCCGCAGGGGCCTGACTGGCCCTCGCTGCCCAGGGTCCTCGTCCCAAGGAGAGAGCCACTCAGCCTCGTTGAGGGCAGAGGCCGGGAGCCAGCAGCCTCCCGGGCCGGAGGAGGACCGGCGGGCTTGGCCACAGCTGGAGCAGCTCGTCCTCGGGCAGGTGAGGGCCGTGGCCTCTGGGAGAACCCCTGGGGCACCTCGAGGCTCCATCCCGACCCTCCTTGCAGCTGGAAGAGCTGAAGCGGCAGCTGGGCCTGCAGGAGGAGGAGCTGGGCCGCCTGCGTCTGGGCGTGGTGAGGGCTGGCGGGGCTGGGGGGTCGGCCCCCCACGGCTCCAGGCCAGTCCTGAGGGCTTCCCTCCCCTCCAGGGGGCCACGGACTCGGAAAAGAGAGTGCAGCACCTCACCCTGGAGAACGAGGCCCTGAAGCAGAGCCTGAGCCTCACTCGGGAACTGCTGCTGCGCTGGGGCCCCTGCCCCCTCCCCAGGGCCCCCCAGGTATCCTGGCCCCAGCCGCGAGGCGCCCTGGGGGGCTGCAGCCGGCTGTCTCAGTGCTGGGCCAGGCCCTCACGGGCTGCCCACCCAGCGCCCGCAGGGCCCCCAGGAGGGGGCATGCAGGGGCTGGGCCGCCCTGAGCCCCCTCCTGCACCCCACGCAGGGGGCGGCAGAGGCTC